GATATTTGGTTATTGCATCTCATCTTTACTTGCAATTTCTTTGACTGTTTGCCTGATTTACTTGCAAATCTTCCTTATATGCTGGATTATTGACTGAGTAGAACATTTAAAACAAAGAATTATGAGCACCAAGGTGGTTTTACATGTAATTTCCTGATTTGATCATATATTTGTTCAATACTTGTTTGAAGTGAACTTGTATAACCAATGAGTATCATTTATCATTCTTGCTTCTATTACTTCGTCGAGGTTAGTTATGATACTTATTGAGTACATGAAGTCGGTTGTACTCATACTACTCTTCTGCACTTTTCATGCAGATTTTGAAGCTAATGTTGTTGTGTATGGCAGAAGCTGGCATTAAAAATGTACCCGCATTCCGGCTGTGGCTGCCACTGGTCCTTGATAGCTTTAGATTTACAAATCAGTTTATGTATATTCGAACAGATAATGTATTTATTTCATACCAACTTTGTAAATTCTAATTCTTAGAAGCTCATGATTTGTACTACCAGTGCTTGGAGAACTGTATAAAATTCAATTATTTTACTTTTTGACTCTTATCATTATTATTAAATTGTGTTTATTGTTAGTTGACTTATATATTCATAAGGCAAGATGACCTCGGAGCCACTTAAATTTGTATCGAATTTTTATCTCGGTAAATAAACTTACATTTTTTCCATTTGAACGCTTCTACTTGACCAAATGAGAATTAATAAACACCTCCAACTGTATGTGTATCAATCGTCTTGACTTGGATGACACCTCAAATACTTAGCCTTTTATTATTTGACATATGTAATTTATGGGGCCCACCTTTTTAAAAAACTAATTTTGCTAACTTTATAATTTTTAAATCAATTTTGAAATCTTCCATCTTAGCTTTCCACCGTCGATGCCTCATCTCATCTGCCTCCCTATCTACTTCTTTCCCTCCCCTATCAGTTTTATGGTTTTATCACCACAATCAACCTTAAACCAATAATTTTTTTTCTTTTTCTTCTTCAGAATCTATACCAGCTACACCAAACCACCACCGTGAACCACTGGTATTTTCTTCTATTTAATCATTATTTTTATTTTTCTCCCATTATTTTCCCAAAATTCTCTCTGAAAACCCGAATCAGTTAAAAAAAACTCACAAATCAAAATTACTGGAGCCGTCACTATTATCAAAGAATCAACCTCAACTCCACCAATTGTAGCACCACCAAATGGGCTGTACATAACTCTAACAACTATAATACCTTCAATAGCACTTTGTAATTTATGATTTCGGGAATTATAAACTCTTCTACATCATCCTCATAAGATTTGTAGAAAAAGAAAAAAAAATAGTGAGTAATGATGGACATGAAATCTTGAACGAGGAAGAAATTAAAAGAAAAAGAAGAAGGCAAGGTGTGTGGGTTTGGGGTAGGGGATAGGGAAGGGGACGGGAAGAAATAAGGGGGAAGAAGAGAGTGGTAATTTACTAGGAGAGTTTTCTTTCTTTTTAATAATTTTGGTCCATCTTTTTTTATTTATTTTTCTTATTTTAGTTTTTTTTGGTTACAATAATCTGATGCACGCTCCTTACGTGCATGATAGACACTCATTTTGGCCACATCAGCGTTGTGATTGCTTACATGTACATGGTCAACGGTCAAAGGAGTCATTAATTCGCAAATTTATGAGTTAGAGTATTCAAATGAGAAATGTATAAGTTTATTTACCGGGATAAATATTCGGTACTTAAGTAGCTCCGAGGCCATTTTACCTATTTATAATGTATGTGGTGGTCAACGTGGCTACTGGGATAAGTGTCCTAATTTTTTTTATCCTTCTCCGAACTCTTATTATGATTTTTCTAACAATATTTGTGAGTTTGATAGGAGCACTAAAGTGGAGGATGTGGAGCCTGCTGCCCGATTATGGATATGGTGAGGCAAGTAGCCGAGCAACAAGATGAAAATAAAAAAATATAAAAAAAATTAGTGTAGAAATCACGAGAATAAAGGCCAAGGCCGAAGAATTGGCTGAAGAGACTGAGTTCCTACAAGAAGATAACTTTGAAGAAACAGATATAGTGGACCAATCTAGCTAGAGGAACAAGCTCACTAATAATATTTCATGTGTTTCTCCGTAATAGTCTTTCAAATATGGCATAACAATTGATAGAAGGAAGACTGAGCTTAGGCAAGAGATAGACCAATTTGGCTCAGATATCCATGACCTGCAGACTCAATGAAATAAAAAGGTTGAGGCGTCTAATGCCCAACAACCAATTGTTGTGGATACCAGCTAACTTGTGGAGCAGAAAGTGGAGTTCCAACCATTCAACCAAAATATTGCTGATGATGCCAAGGTTGCCGAAGTGCGCAAAAGTGAGGATATCAAAAATAAAGAGATTTTAGAGTTGGAGCATATTAGATCTCATTATAACCCACTTTTCAACATTATATTTAGTTGGTGACACGAGAATTGATCCATCCGAGCCTATGGAGGAGTCTAGGGATGAGGGAAAAAGTGCATATATTCTTAGATTTGCCATGCCAAGGAGACAGAATGACACCCCTCACTTAAATGCCAAAAAGTGCAAGGTGCGATATTATTTACTTCGTTCTTTTATTTTCGTACCACCAACCCGAGACCATAACCGCAAGTTTGAACTAAAATTTGGGACATAATTTATTTCTTTGAGGTGGAGAAAAAAATGGTGAAAATGGTATAAGTCGTGCCATAACTATAAATAAGGCGCTAGTTGGGAGACAACCCAATCTACTTCTTCTTTTTATTTTTGTTTATTTTTTTGTGTTATTTTTGTAGAGTTATTTTTGTGTGTTGTAGGAGTAGGAGCATGGAGTTAAAGCTAATAGTAAGTATACAAAAGCGAGCAGGTAGTTTGAACTAAGTGTGGGGTGCCCGCACATAAGTTCATGCCCGAGAGAAGTCTGAATACCTCGTGAGCTGCGATTACTTCTGCCTTTGGCCTCTCAGGTAGTCTCGTTTATCCTCTTGTTATTTATGATGAGCATTAAGGGCAATGTACAATTTTAACTTTTATGTTTAGGGTAGGGAGATTGTCTAAGTAATTTTCTTTGTTATTTTTGCTTAGTTTTAGTACTCTTTCGTAGCCTAGTGATTTCTAAAAAAAGAGAAAAAAAATTTATATGGACTTTTGCCGACGATGGATTTCATGGACAACTTTCTTGAGGGATTAAGGTCCCATGAAAAGAAATTAAAAATATTTTCTTTTTTTGTTTTTAGTTAGTCATAGATAGGTAATAATCCTTCTTGATTTTTATTTGGACATCAGTTCTTTTTCAAGGGATGAATTTTTGAACCGGGTACTTTTTATTTTTAGAGTAGTGTATGATATAAAGACTCAGACTGAATTTGACACACTTGGTGACTTGTTTGATACCAACAGAGTTAGACCTGGTCTTATGGATTATAACTTTCCCCATGAGTTTTGAGAACTACTTGTGCCTTGGAAATTAAGTAGCTTGTTTTGTGACACTTAGGCTCATTTTTTTGACTCTTATTGTAACCGATGTGCATTGTGCATTAAAATTGTGGCCTAGCTTTGTACTGGCTTTGATTGAGAGTTGGAATGTAATCGTCCTAAACTAGTGTGTGGAGAGATTTGAGTGTAGTTTCATGTAGTACATTTATATTTAGAACTTGCTCTGCATGTGAGTTGAAGAGAAATCCTAGGTTTTGCTCAGCTTAAAAAGTGATTTTAGGCCTTCCATGACCCGTTTGAGATTTTCTAGCCTGCCCTATGTTATTTGACCCTAGTCAGCCACATTGAGCCTAATTCCTTTTATTTGGTAGCCATGTTACATTTTGATCTTTTTTGTGTTGAATTATCTATCTTTTGGACCCTACTTCATTGAGCACTTATAAATGCACAATGAGCTAATAGCTAAAGTTGAAGTAAAAGGTTGGTTGAGCTATGAATTAAACCAATTAAATGCGGAAAACTAAGGAAGAATAAAGTTTTATTTACAACGAGGAACACATATTGTTGAAATAAAAAGAAGAGAAGAAAGAAAAAATTTGTATGAGAAAAATGTGTTGAAAAAGAAACAAAAGAAGAGCGTCCTTGTTGCATAAAAGTGAAAGAAGAAAAAAATAAAGGAAGAGATTGGGTGTTGAGAAAAATTTATAAAAGGGAGGTTCTTGAAGAAGAGGAAGTGTGTTGTTATTTATTATATTATAAGTGCTTGGAGAAGCTGAGTCACTATTATTCATTTCTATCCTACCATTGTCTTAGCCTACATTACAAACCTTAAAAGCCCTAATTTATTTTAGACTCAGCCAGCCTGCATTAGTAGAGATTTACATAACGGACAAGCCTGTGGTACCTTTTATGCGCATGTTTCTTTGAGAGAATGAGTGATTTCTTCCATTGTTTGAAGTCCTTAAATTACATTTGAATTTTATTCGAGTGTGTGGACTATCTCTCTTTATTTTTTAGTGAGGGCATATGTTTCATGATGGATAAGTGTCTTTATTAGGTTCTTCAGCCAGAGTAAGTAAGTTGGCCTAAAGGTATTTATGCTAGCAAGTCAATTGCTGAGGTTGAGATGTCCCGAATTTGCTATTCTATTGTTTTGAAATGTTCGATATTGTGTTGGGTATGTTTTGAACATGGGAACGTAAGTTAAAAAATGTATATACAAAGGGCTAATTGTTGGTATCAACCAAAGTTGTGGGTGTGCTTGAACTTAATTGAAAAGTTGTGGCTCGATAGTTATGAGCTTAATTTTGTTTGATCCATTATAGGTTGATTTTACTTTGCTCGAGGATGAATAAAGATTTAAGTCGGGTGATGATATTGGGCATAATTCTATATATTTTACCGTTACTTTTCCCATGTTTTGATCGCTTTTTAGTGCTATTTGGTGTTGAAAATATCCAATATATGTTAATTATTGATTTTTTGACTAATTAAGCTGCGTGTGATGATTACATTTGGAGTGCAAAAATATGATGAAAAGATGCTCTAACTATAGGAGACGAGGATGGATGCGCAGGGAAAAAATGCCATTTGAAGCACCCTTAGCAATAAGTCTCAAGAAAGCATTCACCTCAGCATCCGCACCTGGGCGCAACAAAGTTGAAGGAACAGAGGGTGGACGCGAAGCATCCACCCCATCATATGATGTTGAGAAGTTCAAGCTGAAACGGATGCGAAACATCCAGCCTAGCATCAATCCTTGAAGCTGACTTGGAAAAGGAAAAGGAAAACATTGGCACACAACTTTTGTACGCAATATATAAAGGAAAAATACCTCTTTTAGGTCTTCTAACACACTATAAAGCAGAGAAAAGCCATTACAAAGTTTGAAAACCGTGAAATTCATCTTGAGTTCTTCTTTTTTCCTTCTTTTATTGATTTTTATGTATTCTTGATAATTAATTGAGATTGCTGCATAACTATGCGTGGCTAAACTCGTTTATTCTGAGGTTATGGTTTTACATAAATGTTGATATTCGAATATTGATTTGACAAGTTAATTTGTCATATTGGGTTATTTATTCAGATCTGAGCCTAATTATTTACTACTTATCTAACAGTGAAATGTTATATATGAATCCTGAGTTAAACCTGAAAGAAGTAATTCTTTATTGCAATAGTATTGAATAGAGCGTGATCTTGAACCTAGTCATTGGGGAATTGATTTGCGAATACGAATAAAAATATACCTATTTGTCGGGCTTAGATAATTATGAAAGAAATTACTAATGTTTTTTTCTCAAATCTCATAGGAATATAGTCATTAGAATAAATTGAAAAGGCGAGTAGAAGTTGTCAAATTTCTACGAGTATTAACCTAGATAAATTAATAAGTCAAGTTGATTGATGTAACAACTCGATCAGTCATTTTAAGCATTTGCACTTCGCTCGCCAGTTCTCGGGCATGACTAGCCCCGTATGATGTATTATGACTTATGTAAATTGTCGGTTTTGGTTTTCAGTTTAATTGGAATAGATATAGAATAATGATTCTCAGCTTGAATGTAACGACCCGACCGGTCGTTTTGAGCATTTGCACTTCGCTCGCTAATTTTCGGGCATGGCTAGCCCCATATGATGTATTATAACCTATGCAAATTGTCGGTTTTGGTTTTTAGGATAATCGAAATAGATTTGGAAGAACAATTCTTAGCTTGGAGCTTTAAATTTGAAAGGTTTGACCAAGTTTTGACCTTTTAGTATTCGATCTCGGATTTGAATTTTTATAATTTGGTTAGCTCCGTTAGGTATTTTGGACTTGGGAGCGCTGTCTGGAATGTATTTTGGAGGTCCGTGGCAGATATAGACTTGAATTGGCAAAATTAGAAATTTGGTATTTCCGGTCGGCAGTGGAAATCATGATATAGAGGTCGGATTGGAATTACAGAAATTAGAGTAGGTTCGTTGTGCCATTTGGGACATATGTGCAAAATTTCAGGTCATTCGGAGGTGATTTGATAGGTTTCGGCGTCGTTTGTGGAATTTGAAAGTTTATAAGTTCTTAGGCTTGAATTCAAGGTTGATTCAGTGTTGTTTTGAGTGATTCGAAGGCTCGACTAAGTTTGAATTTTGTTATGGAATGTGTTGGCATATTTGGTTGAGGTCCCGGGGGCCTCGGGTGAGTTTCAGGTGGTTAACGGATCATTTTGGACTTTGGAAAGGTAGCATATTTTCTGGTATTTTTGTTGCAGAGATTTGTTCTTCACGTTCACGAATATTGAGCCGTGTTCACGAAGGTTGGAGTTGACGTGCATCGCGATCGCGACAGGGAACTCGCATTCGTGTAGAAGGGTGAAGCAGGCTTGGGCATCAGGCCCTAAGGCATCGCGTTTGCAACCAGAAGAAAGTGTTCATGTAGGACAAGCTAGGCAAAGCATCGCGTTCGCGAGGTGGAGTTCACATTCGCGAAAGAGAGTTTTTACGGGCAGTCAAGTTTGTGCTTCGCGAACGCTAGGCTCCTTTCGCGTTCGCGAAGAAAGCGCACCTGGGCAGAGTTATAAGATTTAAAAATCAAGGGTTTTGGTCCATAATCTCAAAAGTTATTTGAGAGCTCTAGAGAAGGCGATTTTGGAGGGGATTTTCAGAGGATTGATTGGGGTAAGTGTTCTTCACTCAAATTTGGTTAAAGCCCATGATTATGTCTTGATTTTTATCATTTAATTTGGGAATTTGGGGATGAAAATGGAAGAAAATTTGGAGAGTTGAATTGGGGATTTGAGGTTCAATTTTGGTGTTCTTGGTATGTATAGACTCGTGGGAGGACTAGAATTCTTATGGTGTGTTTTTATCGAATTTCGAGACGTGAGCCCAGGGGCCGAGTTTGAGCAAATTCGGGATTTTTGGTCTAAATTAATAATTTTTGTATGGGTTTCATTCCTTTAGCGTATATTGATGATAATATACTGATTTTGGTTAGATTCGGAGCTTTTGGAGGCCGAATTGAGAGGCGAGGGCATCACGAGTTAGAGTTTTGGCTTTGTTTGTGGTAAGTAACGCTTCCAAACTTGGTTCTGAGGGTTAGGAACCCCGAACTATGTGTTCTATGATTAATATTGAGGTAACACAAAATACCAAGTGACGGGCGTATGGGCTAGCACCGTGAAAATTGCGGCCTGGATCATTTTATGGCACTGCTTAGTGACTCTTTCTTGCTGATATCTGTGTTGTGATTATGTGACTAAGATAATGAGCTGTAAATCATGTTAATTATCATGTTAAGGATTCACGCCGATACTGTTGAGATTCGAGAGGTCGTTTCTTGCTATCATATCATTAGCTTCATTGATATTTTGTACTTAGTCCTGTTAATGCATATTATATCATGTCTTAGTCTCGGTTATTGTTATTTGGCATATCATATCATTGTTTCGGGCTAGTATCATGGCATTTTGGAGCCCGTGTGTGTGAGATTGGAGAGTGATGACTGAGTGAGACCGAGAGCTTGATATTGAGTGACTGTTATGGGATCGGGTTGCACGACGCAACATATTATTGATTATGCCTTCGTTGGCTAGTTATAACGCTTGGGTTGTAGGAGCCCTTACGGAGTCTGTAACACACCCCCATTGAGCGCAGTTGATTATATTCAGGGATGGATCTTCCCTTGGTATGAAGATGGATCTTCTCCATGAGGTTGGTTGACCTATTCCTCGGTACTGGAGACTGATAGTCTGTGATGTATATATATTCCGGGATGGATCTTCCCTGGGCCTTGTAAGCCATATATAATACTGAGTGGTTGTGAGGTTGTTATCATTGTTATTATCTAGAAATGGATCTTCTCCACAGGCTGGAATGTCCTTTCTCAGTACTGAGTGACTGCTGTTAGAGATGTATATATTCTGGGATGGATCTTCCCTGGGTCGTGTGAGCCATATACCGTACTGAGTGGACGATCATTTGAGATTGTGGGAACATGAGGCACTCAGCATGGTGCATTTCATATAGCATGTGCATTGGCATGTAGACGTAGCAGAGTCATGCTTCCTTACCCTGTATATACCTGCTCTGTATTACTGTTCGAGCTGTTTATTTAATTGAAAGCATGCCTACGTTCCTGTACATTATTTCTTTTACCTTTGAGGTGGTTGAGTTCGTTACTACCTATTAGTCCAAAGGTTGAACTTGTTACTTACTGAGTTGGTGTAATTACGTTACTCCCTGCACCTCGTGTGCAGATTCAGGCACTTTGGATCCAGTGGTGGTGGTTAATCGAGGCTTCTGACTTAGGAGATTATTGAGGTATCTGCACGGCATTCGCATGCCTTGTCTCTCCACCTTACTTTCTAGTTGTCTTTCAGTTGTTCCCTTAGACCTTATATTAGATTATGTATTTCCTTAGACATTCATGCACTCAGTGACACTCCGATTTTGGGCTGGATTGTATCGATTCTTGGAATTTCTTATGATTCAAATAGTCCTTTAATTGTTAAAAGCTTCCGTAAATATTTTCAAACTTATTAATATCGTGTTGATTGTTGAGTTGAGGATGGCCTAGTTTCACGATAGGCGTCATTATGACGGGTCGGGTTTTGGGTCGTGACAAGTTGGTATCAAAGCCTAGGTTACATAGGTCTCACGAGTCATGAGCAGGTTTAGTAGAGTCTCGCGGATCGTTACAGAGATGTCTGTACTTATCTTCGAGAGGCTGCAGAACCTTTAGGAAATAAACTTCACATTCTTGAATTCCCATTATGCGACATTGATTCAGCTTGAAGCTTAACTCCTTGAATTCCTTCCAGCGCTCGGTATCAGTTGTACATCGACGGCTTGTGATTCCCTGATCGAAGGGCGAGATGTGATTTCTGTGTGTTGATGTTGGGCCAGTCTGGAGGACTTGAGGCTGGGATTTACTTGTAGCTTGTGCAATGAGGTGTTGATTGTGTAGCACGTGCTTCTGGATTTATATGTTCGGTAGTGTCCCTATTAGTGTAAGTGATGACTGGATGGTTACGTGATGAACATGATGTGACTGCAAGATGTATTCATATGATTTGAATGTAACGAGAAGGGTCTGCTTGAGGGTAGAAAGAACTATTTGGTGCTTGATTTCCATCGTGATTTGATGTATAGCCCAAGTTAGGATGTATTGAAGGATCTTTTCTTGTTGTTTAGTCAGGAAGTGAGATGGATTTTATGTCGTGATTTGAGTTCAGACTCAGGAAGATTTGGTGATTGCGTGATGTTTATGGCGGTGGAAGGATATAAAGAGAAGTTAGTTTGAGGCAGAGCAGGTGGGTTATCTCCTGCGGAGTGTTCTGAAGTTTGTGTGATCCCTATGTTGTTTGTTGAAAGTCCTCTTTTATCGGTGAATTATATGTGATGCAGTTTGAGTGTGGATCGCATATGAGAGTTTTTGGGTGTTTTGGCCTATGGCTTTGAGCTATGTGGGGAAGTCTGCTATTGATAAGTTGATTGCACGACTAAATGTCGTATCAGTTTTAGGTTGAGGTATACTGGTGAGTCAGTTATGGCTTACAGGGGTTGAGATCGAGGATGGCTCGAGTAAAGGACAAATTTGGATAATCGTTGTGTTATGCTTTCTGGGCATATGAGAAACGTTATATGAATTAGTTGTTATTGTAAGGGATGTAACAGGTATGAAGTAGGATATTACTCGGTTGCTTAGAAGGATGTGTTACTTCTTTAGGTGTTACTGATGGGGCACAAGTCGTCCGGTTTGTTTGATCAGTTTAATTGAAATTT